GTGTGTTTGTGGTTGTGTGCTTGTGGTTGTGTGTTTGTGGTTGTGTGCTTGTGGTTGTGTGTTTGTGGTTGTGTTTGTGGTTGCGTGTTTGTGGTTGTGTTTGTGGTTGCGTGATTGTGGTTGTGTTTGTGGTTGTGTGTTTGTGCTTGTGTGTTTGTGGTTGTGTTTGTAGTTGTGTGTTTGTGGTTGTGTGCTTGTGGTCGCGTGTTTGTGGTCGCGTGTTTGTGGTTGTGTGGTTGTGGTTGTGTTTGTGGTTGTGTGTTTGTGGTTGTGTTTGTGGTTGTGTTTGTTGTTATGTTTGTGGTTGTGGTTGTGGTTGTGTCTTTGTGATTGTGTGTTTGTGGTTGTGGTTGTGTCTTTGTGATTGTGTGTTTGTGGATGTGTGTTTGTGGTTGTGTGTTTGTGGATGTAATCTGCCATTCTATCTGGCAATCTATCTGACATACTACCTGGCATACTGTCTGGCATACTACTGGCATTTTGTCGGGCATACTATCTGTCATTCTATCTAGCATATCTTCTGGCATTCTATTTTGCATTTTATCTGGCATTCTATCTGGCATATTTTCTGGCATTCTATCTGGCAATGTATCTAGCAATCTATCTGACACACTATTTGGCATACTATCTGGCATATCTTCTTGCAGCATTCTATCTGTTCTATCTGCCATTTTATCTTGGCAAACTATCTGGTTGAGGTCCAGCGGTGCACACTGCGATCCGATCCTTGCGGTTGAGGTCCAGCGGTGCACACTGCGATCGGATCCTTGCGGTTGAGGTCCAAGACTGCACACTGCGATCGGATCCTTGCGGTTGAGGTCCAGGGATGCACACTGCGATCGGATCCTTGCGGTTGAGGTCCAGGTGTGCACACTGCGAGGGGATCCTTGCGGTTGAGGTCCAGGGGTGCACACTGCGCTCGGATCCTTGCGGTTGAGGTCCAGGGGTGCACACTGCGCTCGGACCTTGCGGTTGAGGTCCTGCAGGGGTGCACACTGCGAGGGGATCCTTGCGGTTGAGGTCCAGGGGTGCACACTGCGCTCGGATCCTTGCGGTTGAGATCCAGGGGTGCACACTGCGATCTGGAGCTGGCCAGACAAGATCGGCGAAGCAGATTGGCGAAGCAGATTGGCGATGAAGCTTGGCGATGAAGATTTGCGATGAAGATTGGCGAGGAAGGAAGCAAGGAGGAAGGAAGGAAGGAAGGAGGAAGAACAACTGTGATAAAATCTAACAACCCTCACCTGGCAGGTGGGGAACAAGAAACCATGCTGCAGGTGGCCAGCACTGCGACGCAAGGCACGTCCCAGCCTTTCAAGAATCTCTTGCCAATTGGCGCGCAAAGCAACTTGCTCAAGTACACTTCCTTGGTTGAGAACGACCGTTTGTTGGAATTCTTTCACGACGCGGCTGCAAATCTTGATCAGAACCCTGATGCTCAGA